TTAAGGAGACTGAGATAGTCCAAGATAATTCTGGTCCTTTAAAAAATTATTTTTGTTTATTTTTATTTTATGTGTATGAATGTGCTGCCTGCATGTAAGTGCACCCATGTTGTGCAGTGTCCATCGAATCCAGAAGAGAGCACCAGATCCCCTGGAACTGGAGTTATGGACAGTTGCTAGCTGCCATGTGGGTGCTGGGACCCGAATCCAGGTCCTCTGCAAGAGCATCCAGGGCTCTTGGCCACTGAGCCATCTCTCTAGCCCAATTCTGGCTTTGATCTGCAACATTCTAGTGCCCCATAATCATGAAGTTCAAGACAGCCTTAATAGAATCTTTTCTTTTCTTTTTGGTTTTTTGAGACAGGGTCTCGCTATATAGCACTGACTGGTATGGAACTCACTATGTAGACCAGGCTAGGCTCAAAGTCACAGTGATCCACCTGCTTCTGCCTCCCAGGTGCTGGTATTAAAAGTGTGCACCATCATATATGGCACTCTTTATTTTTATTTTGAGACAGTGCCTCATGAATTTTCCCATACTGGCTTTTAACTTGTAGTCCTTCTACCTCAGCCTCCTGAGTAGCTGGAATTACAGGTGTGCGCCATCACACCTGACTTCCTCAGAACCTTTGTTGCTAGAAGTATCATGAAATAATTTTGGATTGAGCTTGTAACTGAAGTGCTTGTAACTTATGTGCTTAAGAAAAACAACAAATGTTAGAAAGTTTCCTGTGAAGTTCTGAAGTAGCAGATTTTTTACTGACTTGTTCCCAACATTTAAGAAAAGAATTTTTAGGCCAGGCCTTGATGGCACCCACCTTTAATCATAACATTTGGGAGGCAGTGGCAGGTAATCTCTATGAGATTGAGGCCAGTTGGGTCTACATTGTTTAATGTCACTAGCAAGTTCCAGGCTAGCTGGGGCTACAGGAAGACCCTGTACCAAACCAAACCAAACCAAACCACACCACACCACACCACACCAAACCATACACCACACCACACCACACCATACCACACCAAACCAGCCTCAAACCAAACCTCAAACCAAACTCCATAACAAACCACACTGTACCAAATCAAACCAAATTCCAAAAGAAAAAAAAAATTGTTGTGATTTTACCAAAATGGAGCTTTGACTTGGGATTCTTCATTTTCAAACTTCCATGAAGGTCTGCTGGGAGTGAAAAACAGAACTTTTATGGGGCTGACCCCAAACCTGTTTAGACTAGTAGTTTCAGACTTGAGTGAAAAGGCTCTTTCTCTCTCAGGTTCTTGTTTTTCCTGGGTTCTGTTTCCTTTAATAAGTTCTATCTCTAGTTGCTGGCTAACCAGGGGCATCCATACTTTTTCAAACATTGTGCTACATTATTGCAAGTTCACCTGTCTGCAAACTACATGCTCTCTTTTTAAAATTAGTGGCAAAATATAGTCTCTTAGATCTTATAAGACAAGTATTTAAAAAAAATACCATTGTGTTTAGTTAAGCATTCTGGTATATTTTCTTCTATTTCTTTCTTTCTTTTTTTTTGTCTTTTTGAGACAGGGTCTCCCAGTAGCCCCAGCTGTCCCGGAACTCATTATGTAGACCAGGCTGGCTTCTTTCTTTCTTTCTTTCTTTCTTTCTTTCTTCTTTCTTTCTTTCTTTCTCTCTAAAATAAATTTTTTTTTTTTTTTTTTTTTTAAAGATTTACATTACTGATCTTTTCTTGAGAGTAAATACAGCATACACTGATTTACCTGACCCAAACATCCTCAGAGATTCACTACTTAGAGATTTCTGGAGTGTTCTCCCCTTTGGTTCAAGTTTAGCTCAGTCCATTCTTTTAAGCACATCTAGTGAGATACACTTTACAGAACCCTAGGTATTGATTCTGAGTTACCTAGGAGCTTAATGCTATCCATATTTATCAAGATTAATATTAGCTCGTGTGCATTACTGCTTGTTTAATGTCACACTGGTTTAACAGTGACATCCTTGTCGACACCTTCCTGGTGACTGAGTTCAATTTGAACTGCATGCTCCCCATGTCTTTAGGGGGTGCTCATGCCCATGAACTGAGCTCTTGGGAGTTCTTTTCGCCAATGCAGGCAGGCATCACTGTTTATTCTCATCCTTTAGAGTGAATCAACTATGATACTGAAAGTGTCTCTCCAGGTTGCGTTTTCTCTTTTGAAGCCTCACGTTTGATTTTTGCCAACAGAAATGAGTCACGCCCATTATTATCCACATTATTTTGTGGTGCTTTAGACTGAACTCAGGTCCTCATGAATGCCAGGCAAACACCATGACTACCAAGTTGCACCTATAACCCCAACATACCCTGAATTTGTTAGTGATTAAAGATATATGTGATTTTGCCTTTCATAAAAGAATATGTTGGAGTACTGCTGTAATAGACCATTGTGTACTACAGTGTCAGGGAGATCTGGTGAAAATCCCAGCTCTTGTGTTGTTTGATGAAATTGATAGGAAGCTGGGGCACAGTTCACTTGTCCTGTGCTTAGTGTCCTGTGCTCCTTTAAGCAACAAAAATTTGAGAAATTCCAGGGTTTTTTTCCTTATTATTCCTAGAGTTTGTTTTTAGTGTTGGCTAAGGCTAAACAGGAAGGTTTTTTTTTTGGAGGGAGGAATGTTACTTTGTTGTAACTGAAGTTTATCAATGATGGCTTTTCTGCAGGGCGCAATGGAAGGCTGAGTTTTTTCTAAACATGAAGGGAGAGCTGAGGACCTCTTGGTAAATCACTATTTTTTTTCCACCCCACATGATAACTTTCAATAAACACTAATGTCAATGTGGAAGATGTCGCCATTTTTATCTTTACATTAAAAAATTCAGAAACTTAAATCTTATGATCATTAAAATCTAGCCCTCTGATCTTTGAAAAATTAGAAGCTTTTAGGACTCAGGTTTCTCATGTATAAGATGAGACGAGAAGGAAAATGTATTGTCATCTTGGTGTTTAATATGACACAGTAAAGTTAATTTGATTCCCAGTCTCAGTTCCCTGTTTACTTGGTGACATGAAGGCTTTAACTGATGTCTTTAAGCTGTGTCTTTCATGTCTGGGATTGTTACTTTGCTGTAGAGATTCCAGTTTGAGGGTTTAAATTTTAAAAGTATGCACTTTAAAAGTATACACGGTGTGATTTCATTTTAAAATATTGCAATGAAAACATTTTGTTTCTTATTTCTCATTTTAGAATGTTCTAATGTGTAGTGCTGACTTTTGCTCTTTGATTTCCCCCCCTTCCATTTTTGGTTCTAATTTTACTAATAACTACTAGATAAATCAGGTTAGCATTTTTTTTAATTATTAGAGAGCATACACATGTGTCATGGCATGCATATCATGTAGAGGTCAGAGGACAACTTTCAGGAATTGATTCTTTCCTTCTACCATGGGTTCCAGGGATTGACCTGATATTGTCAGGCTGGACAGCAAGCATTTTTACCCTTAGAGCCATCTTGCTGGCCCAGTAAATTGTTTTATTTAAAAGTTGTTTATATCTTTCTTTTTTTGGTCTTCCTTGTTTATACAGTGGTTTGTTAGCTATGATACAAAAAACAAAGGTGACAAAAAGGAATTATATTTGACTTAATAATAGTTAACTTTCTTAAGATTCAAAAGACAGCAAAGGTGTGGAATAAGGTAAAAAAATTGTAGTCATATACTTGATGAAGACATGAGATCTAGAGTCTGTAAAGAACAATGAAAGAAAGCTCAGTTTTCATAATGAATAAAGAATTTAAATAGACATTTCTACAAAGAGTGTAAAATTACCTATAAGCATATGAAAGATACTATCATTGTTAAGGACACACTCAGAGCCACAGCTGGAGCCCAGTTCATATTAGTTACAATTAAAAAAAATTAATTTTTGTTTTTATGTGTATGAGTGTATTGTCTGGTTGTATATAAGCGTACCCATGGAGGACAGAAGAGGGTGTTAGATCCCCTGGAATGGGAGTTACAGATGGTTGGTTGTTAGTTGCCGTGTAGGTGCTGGGAATGGAACCTGGGTTCTTTGCAAGAGCAACCAGTGCTCTTAACTGCTGAGCCATCTCTTCAGCCCCTGTTCTAATTTTTATTAATCACTTTTTTTTTTTGGGGTCTTTTTGAGACAGGGTCTCCCTGTAGTGGGTCTGGCCTGGAGCTCACTATATAGACCGGGAGTGGCCTTGATCCGCCTGCCTTTGCTGGGATTAAAGGCATGCACCATGCCCCTGGCTTAATCACTTTCCTAATGTCTGACTGCCTTAAGGCTATACTTTCTCTACAAATAGTTATAATACATTAGAAGTAAACTTGAATTTTCTACATTTTTATCCATCAAATCAATTTTGTGCCAGAAACAAAAAAAGAACATTTTATTATTTACTACTCATTGTTAAGATTGAAAGGTTGACATCCCTCAAAGCCAAAGCCAAAGGTTTGTTTATTTTTGTGGTGCTGGGAATGGATCCCAGGGCCTTGGGCATGTTAGGCAAGTGTTCTACTTCTGAAATACATACCTAGCCCTTGCTTTGTATTTTGTAAAATTCTTTGTGGTTTGTGACATAACTGACCTTGCATTATCAATTTGTACCATCAGAAATGCTTCAGATTGACTTGGCCCAGTGCCTATTATTGTTACCCCCTTCAGGAGGCTGCCTTTGGTAGGCCTTCCCCCTCCTGTTTCCTTCCCTGCCCTCCCCCTTGCCCTCCCCCTTGCTCTCCAGTCCTTCTTGTCCCTTTTCTGCCCTCTCTCCCCCTCTCCCTCTCTTTCTCTCTCCTTTTCTCCTTTCTTCCTTTCCTCTCTCACTTTGGTTCTTTTATATGCAAAAGGGATGTCTCTGCAGTTATGACTTCCTTTTAGTAGTTAAGGTAAACACTTAGAACCACAGATGTTGACTGAGCACCTTAGCTAGAAGCAAACTGAAAGAAGTACTCTGAAAAATATTTTTAAATCCATTTAAGTATCTAATTGATTTTACTTTTTTCTGTTCTTTTCATAGCATGTTCCACATTATTCCCAGCGGTGTCTGGTGGTGTCCTGTAGTCTCAGTTCTGTGGGGTATGACCCCAAAGAAAAAGTAAGTATTTAAAAATACTTTCAAAAGCTTTTATAATGGCTTTATTTTCTTGTCTTCACACTGTGTTCAGTGGATGAATTGAACTTTATTAATATTATAATTATTTATTGCCTACAGTATCCTAGGTTATTTTGTCTGTGTGTGGTGTATGTATGTGTTGGGGTGTGTGCATGCCCCCATTGCTCTCTGCCTTATTCCCTTGAGAAGACTGGAGACCACCAAGTCCCCAGGGATCCTCTTGTCACAATCCTTCATAGCACTGGGATTATAGCACCTGTGTGGCCATGCCTGTTTTTTTTTTTGTGGGTGCTGATGCTTCTGTAGCTAGTGTTTTTTCTTACTGAGCCATATCCCCAATCCTCATACCACAGGTTTTATTGAGGCTCGTCTTTGTTCCAGTTTTCTTTGTAGAACACAACTTGAGTCTAGTAGGATTTCTCATTAGCATAAAAGGTGTTAGAAATGTGTATTCACTGCTGAAATCAGTGATATTAAAGATACATGGGTTGGGGGTTGGAATGATGGCTTAGTGGTTAAGGACATTGACTGCTTTTGCAGAAGACCTAGGTTTGATTCCCAGCACCCACATGGCAGCTAACAGCCACCTGTAACTCCAATTCCAGGATATCCGACTCCCTCATCTGGCCTCCTCAGGCATTGCACAACATGGGTGTACTTACATACATAGAGACAAAACACTCATACACATAAAATAAAAATAAAATAAATAAAAGTTAAAAAAATATGAATTGGCTATTATTTTAGAGAATTCTATAGCCCTTTTATTAACAGAATAGTGTGATAGCCTAGTACAAACAAAATTGGTATCTTTTCAGAGGTACTGAAAATAGGTCCCACCTCAATAGAGACAGCATATAAATGATACTTATTAGAATTTCACAAAGAGTTTATGACTTTAGGATTTCCCAGAATTTAGAAAATAATTCATCAAGGAAGTTGTTAAGCAATTTTGACTACATTAAAAATTGTTATTATTTATGTGTGTGTGTGCATGAAGTATGTTTGTGTGTGAGTATATGTACTACCACATGTATGTGATAATCAGAGGACAATTTTGTGGAGTTCTTTTGTTTTACCTTTATGTGGGTTCCAGGGGTCAAACTCAGGTCACTAGACTTGCGTAGCAAGTACCTTTATCTGTTGATTCATCTTGCTGGCCCCTGTTTTTTCATTTCTATGTTCTGAAATATGATTTGAGGATTTGCTTTTCTCTAGAGAATTTATAAATACCTTCTAAGTCCACTAATGAATAGATTAACCTAGTCAATTGATTCTTTGACTGAGTAATTATAGAGCCAGACCCTACTAGATGAGCTTAGTTGCTCCCTGGTTGTAAATGAACATATTATTTATAGCATTGAATATTACTCTAGGAAGTAAATGTTTTCCAGATTCCTATCCATTGTTAATTGTGGAAAATCATGGTATTTTTTTGGTCCCAAAGCAAGAGTAACAATTTCTTTCTTTCTTTCATTTTTCTTTTTTTCTCTTTTTAGACTTTCGATAAAATTCTTATTGCTAATAGAGGAGAAATTGCATGTAGAGTGAGTAGAATTTGAATTATTTTCTGTTTTATTTTGAAATTTATTATCAAATTCTTTTGCATATGAATCTGTTAATAGATAATGTGTTTTCAACAGGTTATTAAAACTTGCAAGAAGATGGGCATTAAGACAGTTGCCATCCACAGTGATGTTGATGCTAGTTCTGTAAGTATATTTTTATTGAATTTAAATCAGGACTTGATTTTGGGTCAAGTGGAATAGAAGTGAGATACTTGTTTTATTTTTCTTGACTTGCAAAAGGTGTACTCGATTTTCAAAGCCATTTAATTGTTCATTTTTATTAAATGAAATGGAAATATCACAGTGTCTTCTATAAGTAGCTTAACATTTTTTCCCCTAAGTTACAGACTAAAAAATTGCCAGGCCAATTGCTGGTCAGCAAGTAGATTAAAACAAAGCATGAGAAAGTTAGATTCCAAGATTAATGGAATGTTTACACAGTGCTCCCTCATGAGAGCATCACCCCAGCATAACTGTAGCATCACTAAGGGGATGCTGCAATTGTTTAACCTTTCCTAAATGCATTAATGTGTTCAGCTGAAAGTTTGATAAATGAGAGACAGACTGATGCTAATTGGATCGGAACAAAAGATGGTATAGCATAAAGCAAATGAATGATATATAATTTTATTTGGCATTTTTAACACAGCAGGCATTTTTTTTTAGCAGTAATGAACTATGAAAGAGTAGAAAAAAATCCCATGGGAAAGAATGTAGATTTTTAGAACTTTATGGACTGAAATATAAGTAGCTGTGCTTTAAGTTTCTGGTTTTTGTTATTTTGTTGCACTTTATAACACAGAGCTTTTGATAATGTCACCTTTTATAGTTTAGTAATTAATTCGATAGAAAAAGCTTTTAAGTTTGGTAATCTTTAGGAATTTGTTCTGTTTGGAGTTATGCTGTTCATTTTGTCTTACTGTAACTCTTCCTTTATAAAACACCAAATGAAATAATTGCAAACTGATATCCTGAAAGTAAACATTAGCTACATAATCTATAGGCTAGATACATTTAAAACACCTTTTAATGAAAAGCTGCCTGGTGTGGTGGCATAGTCCTTTAATCCCAGCACTCTGGAGGCAGAAGCAGGAGGTTCTCTGTGAGTTGGAGGTCTACACAGTGAGTTCCAGACCAGCCTGGGCTATGTAGTATGACCCTTTCTCAAAAAACAAACAAGCAACTCATAAAAAGTTTTGTTTTAATTTGGTGGTTTCAGTAGTAATTTGCATTCCATATAATATATTAATGAAATAATGAGAAAGCCACTACTTTATTACTGTTTTTTAAAAAACTTATTTACTTTATACGTATGAGTGTTTTGCTTGCATTTAAGTGCACCTGTTCATGCACAGCCTTCAGAGGCCAGGAGGGGGCATTGGCTCCCCTGGAACTGGAGTTACTGATGGTTGTTAGCTGGGTGCTGGGAACTGAACCCAGGGCCTTTGCAAGAACAGCCAGTGCTCTTAACTGCTGAGTCTTCTCACTAGCCCCTTCTTGTTTTGTTGAGACAAGGTGTTCACTATGTAGCCCTGGCTGGCCTGGAACTCGCTGTATAGACCAGACTGGCCTCGAACTCACAGAGGTCTGCTTGCTTCTGCTTTCTAAGTGCTGGGATTAAAGGTGTGTGCTACCACACCCAGCCTTATTAGCTTTTTTAAAACAATGCATGTGTTTCTATGTTTCTATGCATATGTTTCTAAAGAAACATATCTGCTTATGTTAATCCATGTGCTTGAGAAACATTTACCAAGTCAATCCAAGGGTTTTGAGAATGAGCAGTATTTTGGTCTGTTGCAATTAAAGTCTTGGTATAATTAATCATTTTCACTTTTTGGTTTTTTGAAACAGGGTTTCCCTGTAGTCCCAGCTGTTCTGGAACTCACTATATTGACCAGGCAGACCTGTCACTCACAGCAAGTCACCTGACTCTGCCTCCTGAGTGCTGGGATTAAAGGTTTGCGCCACCACACCCAGCCTTATTCTGATCTTGATTGGTACACCAAGGCATGCACCCTCAGGAAGCTCCTCTCGGAAATAGTTTGTGGAGGTTTCTGTCAGGTGGTAAGAGATTTACAATACATGCTTCCTGTTTTAGGTTCATTTTCAGTGTATTAATTTATGAGAAATTTTAAATCCATAGATGGATTTAGAGAAAAACATGTTTTAGTTGTGGACAGTAACTGTTTTTATTTCAAGTCTAACAGTAATATGTTAATGATATGTTTTTCTATATCATAATATTACTAATTCTCTATGGTATGTTCTTTTGGAGGTAACTAGTCACATGAATTGTCTAAAGTCTTTCATCTTTTGACTTTTTTCCTGTATACTTGTATTTGTGTGTTGGTGTCATAGAATAATCTACTTTGGCTGATGGCAAGGATGAATTTTCCATTCTTCTATTTCTGCTTTGCATTCTAAACTAGAGATAGACAGGCACGTTCTAGTGTTTGCAAGAACTAGGTTCAAAAGACTTATTGTATATATATATATTTTTAATCTTTTTCATGCATGTCTTTCTAAAAGTATCTGTGGGACTTTCATGTTTGGATTTTGGTGACTCAGGCATGAAGTAGCGGTGATTATATCAGGGATTATAATACATAATTTAGAATATGATTTGCCAGGTCCCACAATACAATCATTGCATTTTTGTCAAAACTTAGCAATAGGAAGCCAAATGTGATGGTGCATGCCTGTAATCCCAGCCTTGGACAGATGGAAGCAGGAGGATCAGAAGTTCAAGGTCAGGCTGGGTTACACAAGCCTCTGTCTCAAAAAAAAAAAAAAAAAAAAATCAGAATAAAGGAACAAACAATCCTCAACAGTAGGGCCAAATCAGAGAAAGATATTTTATTTTTTTTCATCATTCTTAAGAAGGCTAAAGAGGTGAATTCTAACAGCAATTTTTACTTGTTCAACACGTGATCACAGAGGGTTCCATAGAACTAGTCAGCTTTATAGCATTAATATGAACAAACCATGCTAGTCACATGTATTACTACTGTGAACGTTTGTTTTTAACAGGTTAGCATTTTTAAAAAATTTAGAACTATTTTGTTAGCATTGCTTTCTTTAAGAACTAACATGATTATACTGGAAAACTTTATATAGGTGGAGAATTTGGAAAAGGAGTGAATGATAAGCTCACACTGTAGAAAGAGGTACGCATTTTAAGCATAATTTATAGTTCAAAAAACTTTATATGGCCAGGCGTGGTGGCACACGCCTTTAATCCCAGCACTTGGGAGGCAGAGGCAGGCGGATCTCTGAGTTCCAGGTCACTGGTCTACAAAAAAAATAAAGCTAAAACTAGAACTACTATCTGAAAAAAAAAAAAAAAAAAAAAAAAAAAAAAAAAAAACCCAAAACAAATTTTATATGAGATTGAGGCCAACCTGGTCTACATAGCAAGTTCCTGGCCAGCTGGGACTACAGGGAGTCCCAGTTTCAAAAAACCAAATCAAACCAAAACAAAGCTAATTCATTAATTGAAATGTAAATATTATTGAAGGAAGAAAATATGGCACTAATTATGAAAGCTACAAACTTTATGTTAAAACAACTAATTTTTAGTTAAGCAGGGAAAAGATTAATAGTCTATAAAAGTTAAGTGAAAGTCACACAAAGCCAATTGCCAATTTTAAATAATTGATGTTTACAGAAAAAACGTTGGATCTTAAAGATAATAATATAGTTCTCTTCCATCAGTTTTCTTCCCGCAATGCATTTTTTCAAAATTGTCTTTTTATCTTTTTTTGAGATAGTGTCTCCTGTGGCCTCTGGTGACCTCAAACTGTAACTGAGGATGACCTTGAACTTTAGATAATAGTCCTGCCTCCATCTCCCAAGTGCTGGTATTATAGGCATGAGTTCCACCCCTCATACCTGGTTTATTGGGTGCTGGGGATCAAATTCAGGGCTTTGAGCTTGCTAGGCAAGTTAAGCTACATCAGTTGAGCTACATCCCCACACCCTTAAATTGGCTGTAGTACTTTCTGTTCTTTGCTTGCCCATGGATTTTAGGATAATTTTTCAAAATTATCTGTGCCCTTCTCCCAATTTTTATTTACTCTAAACAATGCTTCTTTTTTCTTAATTTTCTTTTTTTCTTTCTTTCTTTCTTTCTTTCTTTCTTTCTTTCTTTCTTTCTCTCGTTCGTTCATTCTTTCGCTTGCTTTTATGTCTTTTTTTAAAAAAGTATTTTATTTATTATTTTTATTTTATGTGTATGCATGTATTGCCTGCATGTAGGTAAGTGCACCCATGTCATACAATGCCCGAGGAGAACAGAAGAGGCTGTCAGATCCCCTGGAACTGGAGTTACGGGCAGTTGTTAGCTGCCATGTGGGTTTTTGTCTTTTTAGACAGGATCTCACTGTGTAGTTTTAGCTGGCCTGGATCTCCACTGTATAGACCAGGCTGGCCTTGAAGTCACAGAGCTCTACCTGTCTCTGCCTTTTGAGTGCTGAGATTAAAGGTGTGTGCACCACCTCTGGCTTTGAACAAAGCTTCTTTAAACATACTTGCACCAGTCATTTTGTGAACATATACTTTCATTTTTCCCTAGAAATTCCCTAAGAATTTCTAGATCATTTAGTAGATTAGAGATTGACAACCTTTTTCTGCTTAGGTAGTAAATATATTTCTGTCTGGAGAATAAATATATTTTAGACTTTGTAGGCCACTATGATGTCCATTGTATATTCTAAGTCTCCTTTTAAACAGCCCTTTCAAAATGTAACTCTTCTTAGCTTGAGGGCTGTACAAAAATAGTCTTTGGATTAAATTTGGCTTAATTTGGTGGACTGTGGTAGCGTCGTGACCCTAGAAACCCACAAATGCACACTTCATTTCATAAGAAACTCCTGAGAGCTGAGCATGGTGGTGATCGTATATAATCCTAGCACTCAGGAGGTAGAGCAGGGGGAGGTTCACCTTGTCTCATCACTGAGATTCATCACGTGCTAATATTCTGGAATGTTGGCTCTATATCTCTGTTCTGTATTGTATCCTTTCCCCTTATGGCTTGTGAATTTGAAAATAAGTTTATAGGTTGTGGCATTTCACTGAGAATTTCTTCAGCCTCCATCTTCCAGGAAAAAGAATGTTGTCCTGTGTATCTATAATACCTTGTCACG